TGGAAGGCTGAGTCAACCCTGAGCCGGTGAGATTTGAACCGCTGACCTGCTGATCTAGCAGTAGCCTGCAGTGCTGCATTTAACCACTGCGCCACCTTGACTCTTTAGAAAAATCTAAATTGCTGAAGTTCTCTTCTGTGAAATGTAAACATTTATAATTCTAAGGTATTTTCTAAAATTAAAATGGGAATCAATGAAGACATGAAGCTCAGTTTATTCCTTACTGGAAGAAAAGTTGGATAAAAAATAGGAAAATTTGTTTCAGTTTGTATCATTTGATGTTTTTTTCTATTGCTGTAAATTCTTGTAAGACAATTCCATTTTCTCTCCAGAGACCAAATTCCACACCATCTACTTCTTAGAATGGATGCATGCATTCACTTTTGAGATCAAAGTCAAACCAAAGATTTAAGTTAAGATAGAACCTTCAGAATTGACTTGAGGTGGTGCCCCACATTTATCATCAGTCAGAGGTGGTATTTACCGGTTCTCCAAACTACTCAAAATTTATGCTACTGGTTCTCCAGAACTGGTCAGAGCCTGCTGAATACCACCTCTGACTGGTACCTAAAGGTGATAGGTAACTTCAAATTAGACAAATGTCATTTTAAAAATATCTCAATGAAAAGACATAATCTTTGCTCTGGAGATTAGGAACCTAGGAGTCTCCAGAACCTTCAGCAAGTTCAATCAACATGGTCCATATTGAGAGACAGTGGGAATTGTATTTCATCGATATCTGCACATTCCCCAAACTTGTTATAACGTATTTTAGATTGTGCCTGGCCCAAAGCTCCAAGACTAAAAGGGAATTGAATCCAAGGCTCTCTAGTCTTAATCCAATACTTTAATCATTATATCTAAGGGCCACAATTCACTATTTGATAGTAATCTGTTCAGTGTGCGTTGCAGTACGGTATTCAAAAATAAGTTTCTTGAATTAACCATTTTCTTCTTTTCTTCTGTGCAATCTCAGAATATGGCTTTCATTGAACCTGATAAAATGCTGGGAAAGAGTGAACAACAGTCACTAAGCTTCCTTGCAAAGGGAAGCTTGTGTCTGCACGTGTGCAGAATATACAGTTCTATCTCAGAGAGAGAATTGGCTGAGCTGAAATGAAATCAAAGCTAAGCCTCTCTGTTGCAATTGCCAGAGAATGGGCAATCTTATTTAGCTCAGTAGTGTGGCAGGAAAGGTCAGCCTGACCAGAAGAGAAAAACAGCCTTCTGTGATAGCAAGGAATATTCTTTTGCATGTTTTCTTTTGACCCTTTGCCTTTATCAAACAAAAAGGTGAAATTCTCTTAAGTACTTAAAAATAGCATTGTACTTAAAGGCGCCAGTCAGAAAAAAATGGCCAAATGCAGAGATCCTTGGCAAGGTGTTTGCAGGAAAGAGACAGAATCTGCAGTTGCCAAAAGTCCATCGTCAAATTAAAAGTAGATGAGAAAGCTATTCGTGAATATTCACACTAAAGTTTACATCTCCTGGACTTTTCCATCTACCCTGACTAATCTGTGTTAAAGCCTAATGAGGCTACAGGCTTTCCCATATGTGGATTCCCCAAAAATATTTTTTCAAAATCATTAAATGTTCCTTACCATGAACCTCACTCCCTGCTTCAACAGTTTTTAAGTGTTAAAAAATCAATATTCCATACTGGAACA